GGGGTCCATATGAGAACCAGTACTCTTAAATATCTTCTTCAAGGTCATACATAGCACCTTCAGCAAGTTTGCAGACAACACCAAGTTGAGAGGTTGACAACCCTGAGGGACAGGAAGAAGCAGCTGGAAAAGCTCAAGAAGTGGGCTCATGTGAACCTCATGAGTTTCAACAAGGTGTCCTGGGTTAAGCTGTAACAGTTATTTTTCTCCTTCTTAGTAGCTGGTGCAGTGCTGTGTTTTCAACTTTAGTCTGAGAACAATGCTGGTAACACAATGATGTTTTTAGTTCTTGCTAAGTAATGTTTACACCAATAAAGGACTTTTCAGCCTCATGCTCTGCCAGTGAGGAGGGGCACAGGAAGCCTGAAGGAAGCAGAGAGAGGACACCTGACCCAAACTACCCAAAGGGGTATGCCATACCACAGCACATCATGCCCAGTATATAAACTGGAGAGAGTTGCCTGGAAGGCCCTGATTGCTGCTTGGGTCAGGCTGAGTTGGCAGATGGTGAGCAATTGTATTGTGCATCACTTATGTTTATTGTTTTCTTTCCCTTTTCCACTTTTAGTTTTATATTCTCTCCCCCTGTTATTCCCCTTATCATTATTATTGGTGGTAGCAGGAGTGGTTTTGTGTTATACTTTAGTATTGTGGTTTAAGCCCAGCCTGTCACCCAGAAACCATGCAGCCTGCTTGCTCACTCCCCCCCTCCTTCATCCCCCCACCACCCTCTCCCAGAGGGGTGGGAAGGAGAATCAAAAGAATGTAACTCCCATGGGCTGAGATAAGAACAGGCCAGTAACTAAGGTATAACACAAATCACTACTGCTACCACCAATAATAATAATGATAAGAGAAATAACAAGGGAAGAGAATACAATACCACCTGCCGATACCCAGCCCGACTGATCAGTGAAGGAGCCCTTCCGGGTAATTCTCAGTTACATCCTGGACATGACGTGATGTGGTATGGAATGCCTCTTTGGCTACCTTGGGTCAGATGTCCTGTCTCTGCTTCCTCCTGGCTTCCCCTCCTCCCTGGCACAGCATGAGGCTCATAAAGTCCTTGGTCAGACTAAACATTACTGAACAGCAGCTGAAAACACCGATGTTATCAGTGTTTTTCCCAGGCTGAAAGTCAAAAACACAGCACTGCACCAGCTACTAAGGAGGAGAAAAAATGAATGCTACTGCTGAACCCAGGACAGTATCCGCTCCTTGTTCCATACCATTCATGTTATGCTCAGACCCCACATTTTCAATATATCATCTCTCTTACATACACACACACACACACACACACAGACAGAGAGAGATCATTTCTTAGTGCATGGACCAATCCCTATAAAGCTGCTGAGTCCGTTCAGTCCATGATATCTGGTTCCATCTCTTGTAAAAGCCTTTCAGAGCAGGAAAAGCAGTGTGCAGTGTGCAGTGTTGGATCATTGCCTGCTGATGCTGATCATTCCTTTACCACAGAACTTGTCTGGTTCTATCAAAGTTCATTCTTTGTTGGAACGATGGTCAGAGGGAAGTCAGGGCCAGTCACTGGTGACCTGAAGACATTTAGTTGATGGGCTATAAAAGTATTACATAGCAGGCAACAGCATACAATGATGCTGTAAATAATCTGGTGGGGAATCTGGGAACGTAAGGGAAAGTCTCCTTTATAGGTTAAGCACCTGGGGAGGAAACAAAAGATGTGTTAAGTAATTCCATTATATAACTCCCAAGGTATAGAGGTGATCATCACACTGAGAACACATACCAGCCCAGATGCATGATCAATGAGTCTACTGTATTACAAGTCCTTAACATAAAGTAGAGCGAAACAAGAACCTTAGCCCAAGCTCCCCAGTCAAAAACCACTAAAACAGCAAATACCGGCTGTAAGTAAGGTACAACATGCTGAAACTCCAAGATCAAGAACAACAACTTTGAGAGCCAATAAATCAGCATTGTAACGAGTGACTGTTAATCCGAAACAATGAATGCTTATCACAAATACCATTAGACACATTCCGGTCAGATCTGTCATTATTTCAACCCTTTGTGCCCCACGCTGAGCGCCAGAAAGGACTCTTGTGGTTTAAGCCCAGCTGGCAATCCAGAACCATGCAACTGCTCACTCAATCCCTCCTCTTCCTACTCCCAATCCTTGAGGGATGGGGAGGAGAATCGAAAGAACGCAACTCCCAAGAGGTTGAGATAAGAACAGTCCAGTAAATAAGGTATAGCACAAACCACGACTGCTACCACCAATAATAATAATGATGATAAGGGGAATAACAAGGGAAGAGAATACCACCACTCACCACCCGCGGGCCGATACCCAGGCAGACCTGAACAGTGATCTAGACCTTCCGGGTAACTGCCCCCAATTTATATAGTGGGCATGACATGCTGTGGTATGGAATACCTCTTTGGTTGGTTTGGGTTGGGTGTCCTGTCTCTGTTTCCTCCCAGCTTCCCCTCCTCCCTGGCAGAGCATGAGACTCAGAAAGTCCTTGGTCAGAGTAAACATTACCAAGCAACAACTTAAAACATTGGTGTTATTAACGTTATTCCCAGGCTGAAAGTAAAAAACACAGCACTGCACCAGCTACTAAGAAGGAGAAAAATGACTGCTACTGCTGAACCCAGGACACCAGATCACAGAAATACTGATCAGCGGCCTTCTGGGCAAAAGTAGTGCTTTTGTTTCTCAGATTAGAAGAAGTAGCAACATACTCACGTTCTTTCCTTGTCAAGAGCTTTTCTTTAACGCAAGGGCTTCCTCAGATGTTTTAGGAGAAAAAACAAAGTTCCTGAGAGAAAAAAAAAAAGGCTTATACAAATGCAACTATTGCATGACCTTTTTGTCTTCTTGCACAGGTAAGTATCAGACAGAGAGAGAAGTGAAACCCAGAGGTGGAGAGAGGAATAAAAAGGGAAGGGACTCATCCAAATACAGAGACTGGCCAGGTATGCATTTGATGCTTTATTTCTGTATAGAAAAGGTAAAGAAAATTCAGAAAGGCATAATACGTATGAAGAAATGATGAGAACTGCAGGCAGTCTGCACAATGTATTGCATTAAATGCAAGGGGAATATGTGCGTACCAGTCACTCACCCCTATTACCAAGAAATCACTCTGTTGGTACTCAGATTTCAGACAGCTTTGTTTGCAGATGGCTGCGCCCCCTGCTATCATTTACCAATGGCATTTAGTCTTCTGTTTATAAACTGTCACAATGAACACTGGATATCTATTGTAGATCACACTGAGATCTTGAGAGCTGATGTTTCTCCCATCAGAGTGCAGAGGGATCTGAGGGATTTGTCGTCCCCCCCCCGAAATAGGGTGTGTTGTGTTTTGTTTTTTTGTTGTTTGTTTTTTCTTCCTTTTGGCAGGGGGGTGGGGGGGTGCAGGTTAGTTTTCTTTGTTTTGGTGGTTTTTTTTTTTGTTTTTTATTTTTATTTTGTTTTCTTGTTGTTTATTTTTTAGTTTCAGTTTCTGCTTCTCTCTGCCCACCACGAGCAGTTGTCAATGAAAACACAGTGGTGCAACTCAGTGTTCCTTTCTGCTGCCTACCTGCATTTTCTTTTAGAAGCAAGTTTCTCTTTACTTCTGGACCTTAACAGGTGTCTAAGATATGCAGCTGTATTCCAACAGCAGGCAGTACTCTTCTGGAGCTTATCTGAATCTTTTTCAAGGTGTAGCAGTAGTTCTTCTACATTCATAAATGTCTTTCTGTCATTTCTTACCTAATCCAAAGACTCTTCCAGTATACTTTCTTTTCTGTTTTCCATTTTGCAGGATGCAGATGGCAAGGCAGACGCATATGACTTTTGTAGTTCTTTCTGCTTTTTTACTACAACAGATGAAAAGCCACTCAAAAAGTAGTCTTGTGACATAACATGAAATTACTGGAAGTCTTTTCCAACCCTAACTATCCTATTCTAACCCTAACTATTCTATGAACCTATGAAGTGTACTCAAACAATGTGAAATAACTACTACCCTATAACGTGCTTCCTAAACTATATCCTAAATATATCCTATATCCTATACTGTGTTTCAAAATTCTAAATCTATTCTAAAGTATATCCTAACATTTGTTTTAAAAAGACACAGCAATAGACTAATAAACATAGTTATAAACACAGCAACAATTGTATTAACAAACATAGTAACAAGCAGAGTAACAATGATAATATCAAGATCCAGAGGCCAGCTCCCAACTTGGGGCAATGCTTCAGCAGGTGGGCGTTTGCTGGCAAGGCTGAGGAGTGGGCCAGCAAGGCCTTCTGCGAGGGCTGGGATGGGTCTGAGGGCGCTGCTCTGGCTCCCAGGTGAGGTGGTGGATCCTCCTATCCAGAGCAGAAGGACATGGTGGCTCTGTCCTCGCTGCTGCCGAGGTGGTGGATCCTTCTATCCAGAGCAGAAGGACATAGTTGCTCTGTCCTCGCCCCTGCTGGGGTGGTGGATCCTTCTATCCAGAGCAGAAGGACATGGTGGCTTTGTCCTTGCTGCTGCCGAGGTGCTGCTGGGGCCGCAGGGTGGAACTCCAAACCCAGGCAGCAGAGCACATGAGGGGAATTCAAAGCAGTAAATGGGCACTTACAAGGGCAGAGTCGGAAAACGCTGATGAAGCCATGAGGGCAGGAGCAGGTGGGACTTGGCTCCTGGGTATTTCGGAAGTATGCTGTAAAAGAGCTCATTGCTAGCACAGGAGAGAGGCTCCTTACTGGCTCCTTACTGGAAACTACAGTGCTGCTTTGGTCCCTTCTCAATACATGTGATACCCTCAGAGCAAGGACAGTTGACAGAGATGTGCAGTGCCCCCTTGCCAGGCAGCAGGGCTCGGCAGGGAGCCCTTGGAAGGTGGGATATGGTCCTTTCCAAAACCCAAGCAGCAGCATCCCTTGCTCTGCCGTACTAAAATCACAGGTTGGCAGGCAATGCTGGGGTAGTATATTTCACCTGACATACATGTTTCCCCGAGGGCACGTACATGCCTCCTGTCCAGGACCATCCTGTGCACCTCAGGAATGTTTCCTATACTCAGAGCTTGGCAAAAAGATGGAACACAGGCTCTGCTACGTACCCGGGTGCCTTGTTCTTCACCTGCTCGAATTTCTTCAGTGGCCCATCCCTGACAGCTCAGTTCTGCTCTTCTTCAGGGACTGTGGCCCATCGCTGCCCTCTTCCCAGGCTGCTCTTTCCTTCCTGATGTTCTGCGAAGAGCCTGGGAACCTTTCCATTCAACAGTATTGTTAGACAGGTGAAGCCATGATTACCTTGAACCAAGCAAAGCCAGGCAGTTTTATCTTTTCTCCCCAGAAAAGCTCCTCTGCTCTTCACTCTTGGGAGCAACAGGAGACACCTGCAATGCAAATGTGTAGGTTAGCAGGGGGCAAGGACTTCCCTGCACAATTACTACCCTGGCTCTAAAAGGCACATCCTTTGGATGGGTTTGGTCAGCTCAGCTGAGCCAGTTGTGGTGGGATCAGCTCACAAAGTGGGATGGCCAACCTGCATCAGCCTTGCTCTGCAGTTTGGCAGAGCTGCAGGCTGGTGGATGACAGTGCTTGTACCTGTGGTGGCAGCAGCCCCACCTTCTGAGCAGGGAGGCTTTTGTCATGCTGCTCGTGCACTTCACTTACCTCTGCTGTTTCCAGCTCTGCTTCTGGTGCTGGTGTCTCCTCATCCCCCTCTCTGGCCAGCCCAGCCACCTCCTCTCCAAGGAGTTCCTCATGGTGGTCAATAAGGAACTCCACGAGCTGCGTAACCTGCACACAGCAAACCACTGGTTTCACTGAGGGGGCTGATGACGGCTCAAACAGCCTTTCCCAGCCTGACCTGTGTTTCTGTGCAGGAAGGTGCAGCTCTGGGGCTGCTCTTCCTGCCTGCTGCCCATGGCTTTGCTGACAGGAGGAGGCAGCCAGGACCCTCTGAGCAGCAAAGCTGGGCTGGGCTGAGGACACTGTAGCCAGGAGGTGAGCACAGCGCACCTTCCCTGTCTCCAGAGCCAGGACATCCAGGGGCAGCTCCTGGGGGGGCCTCAGGAGGTTTGGTGACAAACAGATGGCCAGGTTCCCGACCGTCATCTTCGTTGTGGCCACGTTCCTGCAGATGCCGCTAAGCAGCAACAGCAAGTGCCGGAGCAGGAACCGGTTGGCCTCTGGTAGCTTGCTGGCCACGCTGAGGGAAAAGGAGCACAGCGTTAATGAAGTTGGTGTTGACAACACAGGTCTCCCAGGCTGATCTCACCCAAGGCCACTGCCTCCTCTACAGCAGAGGAACTGCCTCTGCTGAGATATGGCCACCTCCCTCCCTCCCTGCCCTTCTGAAAGAGGCCCTTGTTGGAACAAGCCCCAACACCTGTGGGAAGTGCTCCCCAGAGAGAAAAGCTTTTTGGTGCCCCTTCCCCCAAACATAAACACCACAGCAGCAGGAGGTGGCTTGGAGGAGCCATGGTTATTTCAGGCAGGGCACTGCTCTGCAGTGGAGTCCCAGGCTGTGCCAGTCCCTGCTGGTTGCTGCCACACTTACTCTCTTAGTGCTGCCAGCCTCTCCTGCCTGCTGGTCTTCTCCATGGTGCTCATCCACTCCTCAAACAACTGGGTGTTGAGGAGCTTAGAGAGGATCTTCTGGAGGAGGTCCTGCAGTGCCAAGGGCTCCCTGTGAGGCTTTGGCCACTGCCCTCAGGAGCATCCACTGCATCCCCAGCCCTCTGGCTCATGAGCAGGTGGCTGGGTTTGTGCTTGTGCTCCCACAGGTGCCCATCAGCACCAAGAGAGCCAGGAGCTGCAGGGCTCTGGGTCAGCAGGGCTCACCTTCAAGAGGACAGCCAGCAGCAGCATGATCTGTTGTGGTATGGAATAACCCTTTGGCTAGTTTGCTCAGGTGTCCTTGTGACTGTCCACACTGGCAGAGCATGAGAGACTGAAAAGTCCTTGAATTGTGGTAAACATTACTTAGCAACACCTAAGACATCAGCTTGTTAACAGTGTCGTTCTCAGACTAAAGTTGAAAACAAAGCACTTCACCAACTACTAGGAAGGAAGAAAATAACTGTTAGAGCTGAGCCCAGGACAATCAGGAGTGATGCTTGATCTTTGGTATTATGATGAGGCTTGGTTCTGCAGCCTATCTGCTAGTTGATAGGGGGCCAAAGTGGTGGCAGACACAGTTTTAAGAGCTTAGGAGTGTCTGCAAGGGAGTTTTAGTGCCATGGAGTGTTCTGTAGCACAATTTTATTTACAAGTGCAACCACAGATGATGAAGTTATGAAAATTCCTTTTGAAACAGAACATCTCTACGTTTTGGAGATTCAAAAACTGTCATGAGTCAATATTGATACAATCTATGCATAAAGTAGCATATTTGATACAGAAAAAAATAAATCCCCAAATAGGAAAGTTTTATCATCTCACTTGTTATGAGAGATTATCCAAGACACTTTCTATCTTGCCAACAAACCATTTATAAGTAGAATGTTATACTTAAAGAGCAAGCTTTCAGGCAGGAAGAAGCCCTCTGAACTATTTTTATATCTCCACAGTTAAAAATTCAGTGACCTTAAGTCCAAGTGTTGAAGATAGTATTAATTTTAGAATATTATTCAAGTAAATGAAACATGAAATAATTGCACAGCAATTTTAATGGAGATTTTTTTTTAGAGTTAGGAAAAAGTTTGTCCATAATTATTATGCTAAAGATTAAAAAAAAACCCCTTTTTAAATATAAAAGAGTTTGGTTGGTTTTGTTGTTTTGTTGTGTTTTGGGTTTTTTTGCTTAGGGGCAGTCCTCTGCATTAAAAGATATTCTGTGTTTCTCAAGAGCTGTAATGCCTAAGATTACTTTAGTGAGCAAAAATGAGCTTAGATGTAATATTTTTTTAAATAAGTTGTCTAAACCAGTGGATCTGTTTCTAAGTTTTTCAACAGTGAGTTATAGTACTTTTACATTGCAATTTAATTTTTTTTTTTTTTTCCATTTTTTCAAACTTACATTGCACAGCTATTGAATTAATCTGGAGACTGGGGATTCTCAGGGATGTCAGTTCTGCAGTACCAAAACAGATGAACTGACAGATGACTGAGCTACATTTATATGAAATAACATGGTCTTAGTGGGTGCTGTATTCTCAATTGAATTATTTCCATATTGAGGCTTTGTCACATTGCATGCTTATCAAGTTTTGTTCTGTCTTCTGACTACATACCGTTGTTTTGTCAAGCAATTCAGCACTGAATCACTCTAAGAATTCTCACAAATTTTTTTTCAGGTAAGTCCCTGCCACCTATATTTTAATTTCGTAAAATAGGCAATATGCACTGCAAAAACAGTGTAAATTAAATGAGGATATGTATAGAATACACACAGTAGGTCACAGAATAATATTTCCAGGCAACACAAGTCACATTAAAAATTGCTGCTCCAAACAGGGTTTTCACACACATATAATTTGGACTAGTAATAACAAAAGGTAAGAAACAGGTTTTGGGAATTAATAAATATAGAAATTTCTTTGGAAATATAACCAAATGTATCGATTATCAATCACAATTGTATGTCTTTTACAGTCAACGCAGCTCTTATAAAAATGGTACAGATAATACGAACAAAATATTCCTATTTAGATTTTTTTCTCTTGATTATCAGCTAAGGGTATTTTTGGATTTACTTTTTGTATTATAATAATGCCCATTAATCCATAGTAGAAACAGAGCCTTTTACGCTATATTCTGCACAAACACACAATTTTGCATTGCAGCTTTTTCAAGATACAAACTAATCTAATGTCTAATGCAAATATGCATTACAAAGAATTGACGATGAGCAAAACATTTTCTATGGGGCTTCACAGATCATGTACGTTATTTGTCATGAAACCTAACATGATAATTTTCTAAAAACATCATTGTTATCAGCACTGTTCCCAGGCTGAAAGTAAAAACACAGCACTGCACCAGCTACTAAGAAGGATCAAAGATGACTGCTACTGCTGAACCCAGGACACCCAGTTACCAGCCTGTTCTTATCTCAACCCATGAGGTTTACATTCTCCTGATTCTCTTTCCCATCCCTCCAGGAGCAGCTTGGGGAAGAAGTGGAAGAGTGAGTGAGCAGCTGCATGGTTCTGAGTTACCAGCTGGGTTTAAACCACGACACAAGGACATGTGCATGGCCTTGCATATGGGTCAGGGCAACCACAGGTGTCAATACAGACTGCAGTATCAAAAGACTGAGAGCAGCCCTGACGAGAAGGGCTTAAGAGTACTCCTGGATGAAAAGCTCAACATGAGGAAGCAATGCACACTCACAGCCCAGAAAGCCATCTGTATCCTGGTCTGCGTACAAAGAAGCATGGCCAACAGGTTGAGTGAGGGACATGATTCTGCTTTTCTGCTCTGCTCTCATGACACTCCAACTCTGGAGTCCTCAGTACAGGAAAGATATAGACCTATTAAAGTGGGTCCAGAGGAGGGCCACAAAAATGATTAGAGGAATGGAGCACCTCGCCTATGAAGAAAGGCTGAAAGAGGTGGGGTTGCTCAGCATGGAGAAGAGAAGGCTCCAGGGAGACGTTATTATGGCCTTTCAGTATATAAAAGGTCTTATGAGAAGGTGGGGACAAAGTTTTTAGCAGGGCCTGATGTGATAGAACAAAGGGTAATGGTTTTAAACTAAAAGACTGTAGATTTAGCTATAAGGAAGAAATCTTTTGCAATGAAGGTGGTGAAACACTGGAAAAGGTTGCCCAAAGAAGAGGTAGATATCTGTAGAATGAAATGCTACAAGAAACATACATTATTGCAAGGTCTGATTATTATATTTTTTATAATTTTTTCACTTGGGTCATGTTATTGCTTGCAACAATACAGCACAATATTTAAACAAACAAACAAGCAAGCAAACAAACAAACAAACAAAACCCAAACTCCCTATTACGATAACAGAAAGTGACTTTGTGGTAAACCAGAGTGAACATTCCCAATCTGCAGAAGGAAAACTTTTCAAAAAACTTCAAGACCAAGATTCCATTTCATAGTGTAGAAATAATCTGTCTCTGTGTGTTCCTAAGAATATGTATCTTTATAGTAGCTGGATTTCTAAGCTCCACTAAGATTAACTAAGATATAGCACATATCAGAATCATCTTAGATGAAGCTGAACAGATATAGTCCAGAACTTACTATATCTGATCAGGTAAGTTTCACCCTGTGATAATATTATTTAGCAGAAGGCAACAGATACCTATATTGGAAAGATGCAATAGTGTAGTTATCAAATTTGTGTGAAATACATTGGTGCATGTAAAATAAATGGATATCCTATATGCATGTAGGTTTATATACACACATATGGATATCTATAGACATACATAACTTCTCTCCCTCTTTTTTTTTCTCGTGTCTACATACATATATAAATGTACACAGATACATATGCAAATGCCCACATTGAAACACCCATAATATTGAAAGATATTATTCTGTACCTAGAAAGAAATACATCCCTATGACTTTATTACTGCTTCAGAAATCATGCTGCATTGACAGCTTAATTACTAAGTGTGAGTGCTAGAAGGTAAGTCATTTGGGCTGCCTGGTGCCCTTATGCTACTGATAAAAGCAAAACAGATGCTTAAAGCATAATACGGCAACTAATGGGAAGAAAACAAACAAGAAAAACCCAAACCATACCACTGCAAAACATGGAAAAAAGGCTGAAGAACAGAATAAGCTGCAAAAGAAGTTGTTGCATTTTCAGCATCTCTGAGAGTCGGGTGACATTTGGGTTCTTCAGTATGAATGCAAACTACTGACCTTAGATTCCTAGCTAGTCCTGCTTGCCCTGACAAAAGGAGAAGATGATCTTCCTTAGAGCTAGGCTAAAAGCTGTGGCCACAAGGTGCAGGTATGTTTATTTCAATTTAAAGTATGAAATTGAGTGTTGTCAGTGAAAGCAATATCCAGATTCAGTTCAGTGGAAAAAAAAAGTCCAATTCTCTAATAATTGAAATGCTTTGGCCTAATCCACATTTCCGGCTCTTTCCTCTTTTTGTGGAAAATAAATTCATGCATAATTTCTGGAACTAGAATAAAAGACATCTGTCACCTGTAAGCATGCCAGGGAACATTAATAGGTATCTTGCTCAAATTATTAATTTCCAACTTGACAGGAAAGATCTTGTTATGAACAGTGTGTAGAGCGCTGCGCTTTTGTCATGCCAGGTATACCTGACATACACACTGTTCTCACCACTCATGATAATATAGGACTGTTGAAGCACTGCCTGAAATCTCTTTGATTGCATGGCTGTTGTGGGGTATTTTCATTTGTTACACTATGTTTATTTCACAATACAGAAAAAAACCCTCCGTTCCATATAACCTTAGCCATCTGCTGTTTTAGAGTATTTTAAATGAATTTTCTCTTCAAAAGTATATAAAATCCATTCTTACTGGATTTATACAGTCTTTAGAGTCTTGCAGTCTTTAAAGCAGTACTCAAGGTGTATTTCTTACATTTTACAGTGTTTATCTATTTATAACCTTATTTGTTTTCCTGGTTTATGTTACAGTGGATGTAGGAACTTTAGGAAGGCTATTTCCACATAAAACACACCAAGAGGCAGACAAAGAAAGGTATCAGACAATGTAATATCTGCATGTTTTTAAGAAATATCATCATTTCTAAAGGAAATAAGTATACCTTTGTGCCTTTTGAGCACTTTGTGAACAAATGTTAAAAAGTAAAATGTTCATGGCCATACTTTTTGAGAGGAATGCATACATTGCTTTTTGAGATTAATAGCTATTTAACCATAATTGCAGCCATAAAAGAATCTAAA